GCCAGGGAGTGGCTCTTTGCTGTCCCTGTGTCTTGAGTCTCCTGTGTGGTGAGCAGGTGGAAGAGGGGGTAGGAGGGAGTCCACCTCCAGCATCCTCGCCCTCATGCTCCCCACGGTCATGCTCCCCACGGTCTGGCTCCCGTAGGCCGCGAGTCGGGCTGCCGGGCCCTGCATGGCCTCTTCATAAGAGGGTGGGCTTCCAGGCCTCTCCCAGTCAGCTCCCTGGAACACATCATCCACCGAGAGGGCGTGGGGTCTCAGGCAGAAGGCGCGGGTTGTTTGATTGTGGGTTTCAGACCCATTTTCCTGCACGATTCGGCCAGCAAGCTGGCTTTCCTTTCTAACACCCCTTGGGACGTGGTCCCTGGTAAAGTCTTGCGATTTCCCAGACCCTGCGCTGAGGTTTTTGGTCAGCACTTTTTTGTGAGGGGCAAAGGAGAAAGACATGGAGTGCTTTTTAATTTCTCTGCTGGGCTTGCCTTTTTCTGTCTTTGTGGTGAAAGACTGATGTCTGCTGAAGAAATTTCTTTTGGGACTGGAAGGAGAAGCCACGGGTGAGCTGTCAGAGGACGCGTCCAGCGAGCTGCTGGAGAAGGCTTTGGGAACCAGTGCCCTTGGGAGCACCGAACCCGGGGTCAAGTTCTTGATCTTCAGGTCCACCGGCCTCTTGGTTTTGCCTTGCACTGCAGGGAAGACCTCCTCTGGAAATGGGTCTTCAGCCTCCTCCCTTTCCAAACGAGAGCCTACCCGGGGCATGGGGAAGTCCCCTTCACTCTTTGTTAGTGTTTGGTTTGTCACCCGGCTCTCAAGGCACTCCTGGGAGGACGGCATGCTGGGCTCTGAGTACCTCCTATCGGGCTGTGCGAGGGAGCTTTTCAGCCTGGCCACGGTGCTCACAATGGGCTCTGGGCTGACCTCTCGGGCATCCTGTGGGCCCCCACTATCAAAGCCAGCAGCTGTGGCCATGGGCACCTGGGGCTGCCTGCTGGGAGAGCTGATGCCACTGCTGCTGTTGGATTCCACATCAGGATCGTTGCTGTCGTAGGCTGAGTCATTCTGCAGGGTCGACACATCTGGGGGAAGTCAAAGAGCAGTTGAACATTTGTTTGGGTTTATTTATTTGTATTTGTATTTTTTTTTTTTTTTTTTTTTTTTTTTTTGAGACAGAGTCTTGCTTTGTTGCCCAGGCTGGAGTGCAGTGATGTGATCTCGGCTCACTGCAACCTCCTCCTCCTGGGTTCAAGCAATTCTCCTGCCTCAGCCTCCAGAATAGCTGGGATTACAGGCGCCCGTCACCATGCCTGGCTGTTTTTTCTGTTTTTAGTAGAGAGGGGGTTTCACCATGTTAGCTAGGCTGGTTTCAAACTCCTGATCTCAGGTAATATGCTTGCTTTGGCCTCCCAAAGTGCTAGAATTACAGGCGTGAGCCACTACGCATGGCCGTTCAGGTTCTTTTAGAAATGAACTTCGCTACAGTTCGCCCTGCTCTTACCAATCAGGGCACTAGGTGATTTATTAGCAGAACTACTTAGGGGCTTGATATGACAAGAAATGTACCATATGAAAAGTTTGTTTCTTTCTGAATTTATTTTGAGATCAGAAGAAAAATAGGGAAAGGAAATGAGTAAAGGAGAGAGGAAGGAGAGAAAGAGAGGAGAGAATAAGAAAAGAGAGAACAGCATTTCACTGCAAATTTATTGACCTTAATTTTTAAAACCGCTCCTTTTACTGGACCCATTTCCATTGTCATGGAGTCATATGCCATGAAGTGGAAACAAAAGTTTCTCACTCAACTCCAGAGCTAAAGGTGACTTAGTGAAATCAGCAGTGATTTGCGATGAACACTGGGAAGGGGCAAAGACTATCTGTGGTCTGAGAGGCGCTGCAGGAAAAGCCCGGAGCAGGGTTTTCATGTTTAATGGACTGGAGTCTAGTCTGACTTGGGGATTTGTGAAGGTAACTTCTACCTCATACATCAGAGATGCTTTACATGACGGGCAGCCTGGCATGAACTTTTCCCTACAATCGTAATCAAATGATAGCACATTCCATACCTGAACTGTCAGTGTGCTCCAGGGAGTCAACAGAAGTGATACTGGAATGTACTGGAATGTTCTCCCCAAATATTTCAAAGCAGTTATCAATGAGGAATTCCACCAGTGTCTTCACCTGTGAGGAAAAGTAAGCAATTTGTCAGCTTGAAGACTTTTTTTTTTTTTTTTTTTTTAGGGAGGTGAGGAAGAATGGGGACACAGTGGAGTCACATGCCAAAATGAGAATTTGAGATCTTTATGTGTCTGAAAAGAGCATACAGAAATTTGGTAACAATCAGATACTTTTTATTTTTGTGAGACAGGCTCTCACTGTGTCACCAGGCTGGAGTTCAGTGGCGCGATCTCGGCTCACTGCAACCTCTACCTCCCGGGCTCAACTGATTCTCCTGCCTCCGCCTTCCGAGTAGCTGGGACTACAGGCATGTGCCACCAGGCCCGGCTAATTTTTTCTATTTTTAGTGGAGACGGGATTTTGTCATGTTGCCCAGGCTGGTCTCAAACTCCTGAGCTCAGGCAATTCACCTGCCTCGGCCTCCCAAAGTGCTGAGATTACAGACCTGAGCCACCATGCCAACAATCATATACATTAAAGTTAGATACTCCTTGGTGTTTTGAGACATGCATTTAAATTTAAGAACATACAAAAAATTAAAGTATTAATAACATTTTCATTTAAGTAAGTAGTTTCTCAGATCGATAGACGGATAGACTGTGTCGTACAAACCACAAAAACAAAAGGGCTTTTTTTATATCGGGAGAGAGTGATGTAAACACTTGCAGCACTCATCTGTGTCACAGACCACAGAAGACACAGATTTATTCAGTTTCATTAGATACATGTATCTGAGGGAGTGGAACTATGACAAAAGCATTTTGCATTTTATATTTTCACTGTGATGCTGACTCAGTTGGAGACATTCAGAAGCATTTTATTGCCTGCATTTGGCAAAGAGATGCTGAGATCATAAGTTGGGGATTTCTCATCAGTAAGCAGAACAAACCTTGTTGTTCAGGTCCTTCCGGGCTTCAAATGACAGACACTGGTCATTCTCCAGGGTGAGCATGTTGGGTCCAATGCAGATGGCCAGGTTGCTGGAGTCCATCCTGTTGACCTCAGAGTTCTTGCTGATGAGGTGTAGCACATAGACCAAGTGCTTGAGCAGCAGGAGGTTGGGCCGGGGGAGCTTATCTGCAACCCTGGAATAAAGTGAAGGGATGTTAGTTTTCAAAAAGGCTAATGGTCTTCAGTGTAGCAAGCTGAGAGTTTCTGCCGAAACCAGACTTCCTTTAAAATGAGGAAGGTGCATTTTCACAAGTAATATTGTGAAATGCTCATTCAGACACTTCCAGTGGCAACTGACACAGAGTGAGGCTGGTTAACCGCAAGGTCTTGAGGAGCTAAGAAACTGGCCTTTATAATTGGGACATGAATAATTCAGCCCTTTATTATTTATACAGAGCTTAAATTATGAAGCCAATCTGCATTAAAGACCAGAATTTGCATTTATATTTAGAAAATAGTTTTGTTGAGTAATCATTTAGCCATGTAGAATTTCTTTCTGTTTCTAACACGGCTAGACTGGTTTTCTTGCCTTAAAACAAAAACAAACTATAATTACCAAACGAAGACGACACATTTTTACAACATTCTGAGAAATCTTTATGAAGACTAAATCAGTTTCTTTCTTTTTTTTTTTCTGAGACGGAGTCTCGCTCTGTCGCCCAGGCTGGAGTGCAGTGTCCTGATCTCAGCTCACTGCAAGCTCCGCTTCCTGGGTTTATGCCATTCTCCTGCCTCAGCCTCCCAAGTAGCTGGGACTATAGGTGCCTGCCACCTCACCCGGCTAGTTTTTTGTATTTTTTTTTTTTTTTTTTTTTTTTTTTAGTAGAGATGGGGTTTCACTGTGTTAGCCAGGATGGTCTCGATCTCCTGACCTCGTGATCCACCCGTCTTGGCCTCCCAAAGTGCTGGGATTACAGGCCTGAGCCACCCCGCCCAGCCGACTAAATCAGTTTCTAAGGGCATATTCATAATAAGGCAGCACTTCAATCACAACATTGTTCCTAATGATAAGAAATTAGACTTCTTAAAGTCTCTTTTTCAAAAAATGAAATGGTGATTCTTTTCATTTCTCAGAAGAAGGAATTGTTATAAAAATGCTTTATGTCTAGGTGGAAACTCATGGTGATAATCTTAGAATATTCATTTTGGGACAGACATTTTAATGTCTTCACTTCTATACATATGTCATTGAAAATATTTAGCCATGTGGGACAATTATAACATATAGATAGACTTTCATAGGATGTGATAACCGTGCTGACATTTCAAAGCTTGGGTTTTAGAATTCTCTAGTCACTAACAGATCACACTTTCCATTGCATATGTTATTATTTTTACTCTCACTGGAATTTGTTATTATATAGTTTTCCTTTTGGTTAATTATAAGAGGATTAAATATGCTATGAAATTTTATGAACAAAACAACCGCCCCCACCCCATTGCCTGGCTGCATCCTGAGGGATGTTTTATGGGAGAACTGTTGCCTTGCATGACACCAATGTAGCTTAAAGATAACCCCAAACTCCTACACTTTGCTGGCAAGCCTGTGTTACAGTTTTCAGGTCTGATTTTATCTCACACTTTTTTGAACAGCTTACATTTTCAGACTTCCCTACCTCTTGGGATTTGTGAGGATTGAAATTCACTTCCTACGTTTTGAAGAAATATTTCCTTTCATTTGGCTAAAATTAAACTTCAAAAGTCCAGGGCACCCTCTGGTTTTTATCCTGGGAGTGGACAAGCAATTCCACTCAGATTCCCTAAACATCACAATTCTCATGAAACAGGGATCATGAAGCTTTTACAAAGTTGTGTAAAGAATCAGAAGACGGAGGTGATGCGGCCTGGCAATCACTGATGACTTTGATGACTTACTGTTTCAGGGCCTCGATTCTGTCCTCCTCGTCCTGCATCTCCAGAGTGCCCATCCACTCCTCAAAGAGGTCGCTTGAAAGTAGCTTCCGGGGGATACTTCTGAGGAAGTCCTGGGGGATGAGAGCGGGCTATTGGCCTATTGGTACTGTATGATGTCCCATGTCCTCGTTTTTACCTGGTTTTCATTCCATCACAGGGTGCTCTATGCTTAGCCCATCATAGATTGTGCCCCTTCATTCCTGCATTTGATTAATCCAGGGAACCCTCTCTGCAACACCCTTGGCCTCTCTGCGACTTTCTAACATCAAGCAGAGTCAGAGGCACCATCCCCAGGTGGGTGTGTTCTGAGGGGCCACTGGATTTTGGCATGTGGATTCTGCCATGGAACAATCAAATTGCCTGTTGTTGGCAAAGTTTTGAGAGAGCAGAATGCATTGCTTTCTGTTGGAATCTGAGGTCACAGAAACAGAGGTGCTTACCAAATAAATAAATAAATAAAGGGCTTAATGAAAAAAATAAAACTCCAAGATCAGTGTACCTTGCTGTGTGGAGAGAAGAGCCTATTTCTTGCATCCTGAGAATGAGTGTGCCAGGGCCCCTTGGCAGGTTTTTTGGCGCAAGCGTGTTGAACTCACCTTAAAGACCACAGCGAGGAGGTGCACGGGGAGGCTCTCCAGATCCACCGCATCCCCAGAGTTGAGCTCCTCCTTCAGCTCCTTGCGGGCTTTCTCGTTGGCTGCTCTCCTGAATATCCCTTCCGTTGAAGGGCCTTTAAGGCATAGAATAGTGAGAATGTCCTAAAGGAAACAGCGATAGGAACAGGAAAGGATTACCATTGGTTCAAAGATACTGTGCTGCTACTAATGCATGAAGATCTATGCTTAGACTGCAGAAAGAATTAAAATAAGGTACATGAACAGTTTCTAACTTTACTTGTCATAAAATACCATCTCTCTAAAAGTTAGTTATCTTCTCTAGTATACTGAGATAGTCTTAACAGGAATATTAATGTCAGATTTTGCTTTCAGTTCAGTCGCTATCAATGGCCTTCCTCAACCCCGCTATTTTTCTAAGAGGAGGCAAATTGTGAAAGCTCTAATTTTGCACTTTCTAAAATCATTTTGGAGCTCTCTCATTTCAAATACTTCCATATGAACATTGGATTTTGGATCACAAAGTCTATATTCTGTTTCCCCTTCAGACTTTTCAGAAGCTACAAATCTTCGGCATTCTTCACTCTGTGCAGTCAGAGAAATGGAGGGACCATAGCTCTGAGCTCATTGGCAAATACAACTAATTTCAATTTCTGGAATGGAAGCAGTCAGATATTCTTCTAACTGCATGCGTATGTGGGAGTGCCATGTCGAAGAGTGGAAAATATGGAAGATCAGTCCCTACAAACTTCATAGGAGAATGACATTCAGATTTCCTGAGTATTTTGCATGTCCAACTGAAAACTGAAGTAGGTTTATGAGAAAATGCATGCCTACCTGGATGGGTCTGGGGAGTGTGTCGCTGCCACCACAGATAATTGACAAGGGCTGATCAAATAGTGATGCTTTCAAGTCTGTCTCCAAAGCCCCAGAAAAATCTGATGCAGGGGAGAGCCTTCTCATGAGAAAGGGCCAGGACAGCACCTTCTTTCTCTTCTTAACTTCTACAGCCAAGAAAACAAGGCAACGAGAAAAATTAGACTACAGTGTTAATACGCAAAGATCCAGGTAAGAAAATGGGTATCGTTGGCCACATAATGTGGTCGATAGTATATGCCATGTGAGAAAAATAATTTTGAAAACTTAAGAAAGCAAAGGGCGTGAATCTTAATCTAGAAAAACCAACCGATAAACAACCACACTGTTACCAGGGCAACCAGTTCCCTAAACAGCAACACCAGGGTTCCTCAGAGCCTCCACCTTTCCTGTTTTCACTCTTTCCAGCTGTTTGCTACAGAAAATTAGCAAAACCTAACTGTGCAGATCATAAACAACCATCTTAACCTACTGGCCTGAATAACTATAGAGGAAATTTCTGATATGAAATAGATTATTTTGATTTCCTCCTTTAATTGGCGAAGAAAACGAAACTTAAAAGGTGAGGAAGTGACTTGCTCAGTATCTCTTCGAAGGCACATAGCAGGGCCGGCTCCAACCCTTTGCAGCCTCGCAGGCACTACATAGCCACTAGAGGGAGCTAACACCATTCTTCCTTCCGGGTGACTGGTCACCTGGGTTTTCCAGGTCGCTGCTTTAGGACAGAGGCAAATACGAATCGCGGCAGGAAGGTCTGAACCTACATCTGGCAACTGGAAATTATCAGCAAAACGTTATCAAGATATTCTGTCCTTCCGAAATCCACAAGATGTGTGTGCAATGGATATTGCAATCTCAAAAGTTTCCTTCTTTCTTTTCTTTTCCTTCCTTCCTTCTCCTTTTTTTTAAAACTAATTATAAAGGCTATATTTTCTAAATGCATTGGCATATGTTTCTGTACATTTTAGATTGGCAAGTGGAAGCGTGATGAGAAAGAAGTGGCCTGTATGGTTCAGGAGAACTGGGTCAGGGTTGTGCTGTAATGAAATGCATTATGAAAAAAATTGAGAGCGAATGGTGGGTCCTTTGGGATTTGAGATCAGCAACAGTTGCTTCATAGGCTCTTGGATGCATTCTCCATAAGAGAAGGAAGAAAATGGAAAAGACGCTGTGTGTTTTCAAATGTGTGCATGCTAATTGTGGAAACATACATGGCCAGGAGACGGAACCGCATTAAAAACCCTTGGCAGAACTGGGGGATTCTCTGTGGAGAGGCTCTTTCCGCTCGCAGCACTCCCGGCTCTAGTGAGTTGGAGCACACCTGCCATTTAAGGGTTAATGTTCTGCGGTCTTTAACAGAACACTTATACAAAAAAATTCCTAGTAGAGTAAAAACGCTGTGGTTTTGCAAACCAAGAACGCTGGTTGTTAGCACTTACATAAAAGATCAGTATGTTTTCAAAACTCACCAATGAGCTGGCAAATACTGTCTTCACTCTCACATGATGCCAACAGGGGATGTTCCTTGATGTCACCCTAAAAACATTTTTATTTCAGTTAAATATAGTGACTGAAGAAACCTATCGAGTCTTTCCCCACAAAACACACATACAACATTTTATTCATATTAAAAATGAAGTCAGTAGAGTGCATTGATGTTTTTTTCTAGCTTCTAGAGGCAATATTAAAGTCTCGATTGTCATCATATAAGATCCTAATTAATGTGTTTAATTTACTACATGTGTGATGTTAATTTACTACTCTGATAATTAATATTCAACCCAAATAATATTCAATAAAACAAAGTTTTCCACCTTCTCACAGTACAGATAAAAAGTTTCAAAAATTGCTTTCTTACCTCTGATTGACATTCGATTAGCGTCTCCATATTACTGGCATTTAGTGTTTTTGACTAAAAGAGAAAAAATAAAATTAGGTAAATATCTTTTGGCCCTTGCCTCTAGGAAACACGAATTAATAAATGTGAGAGTGTCACTCACAGCATTGTGGCTGCTTCTCAGCTTCATCAGTATTGGGACTGACTGTCCGGGAGTGAATTTCACTCCTGTGCGGCTGTGGCTCTGTCTACAACGAATCATATGGAAAGGAGTTAGGAGGAACACACAGTAGGTTGGCCACTTTCAGCACCACTTTGCCAAAGCACAGAGTTTGAAACTATTTATTTATTTATTTATTTTTCTATTTTACTACTTTTTCAATTGCCTTTACTTTGGAAAAAAAACTATTACATAGACAAGTTTTCATTTAAAGTCAGTTCTGTGTTACCAGATGTCATATGTTGTTAAGAACAGCATCTGAACACAATTATTTCTAAATTATTTAAGCCAACTATCTTTACCATTCTAAACGTTGTCACCAATTTATTCCATTCCCATCAAGAGATAATTTGGATATCAATTACATTAACATTTTAAATTAACATTAACATTAACTTTTTGGGGGGAGTCCTCACTATATGCCAGGTATCGTAGTAGGTGCTTTGCATGGATTTTCTCATCTAATCCAAAAAGGAAAAAAAAAATGTATCTCCAGGATGCTGCAATAGTAAACATGAAACAAAGACAACATTTATAGAATCCCTACACCAAAAAGGTGCAGCCTTCACGTTGAAGCAAAGCTTTCTTTGTCCTGAGACTTTATAAAGTGAGTGTATATTCCACGGGCTAGCTGTTTTCTGTTGCCTGTGATCTGAGTGACCTGTGACTGGGAAGGCAGCCTGCAATTTCTAGGCGTGTTAATATATAGTACTTACCCTCGGAGGGTCTCTAGCCAGAGTTCTTTTACATCCGGTGAGCTGTAAATAATGGGAGAAAGAGCATGACACTCTGCTGCTTCTAGTCCACTGGGAGAGAGGGAGACTGAGCCGGTCTCCCTTCACATGCTCTGCATTATAAGCGAGGGGGCGGGCAGGTGGAAATTCAGAATATTACAGAGACCGGAAAGAACATCATGGGCTGTCACACAGACGAAGCCAGCCAGACACTGGAGAGCTCTCACTTCCTCATTCCTTTTAGGGCAGCTCTGTCTTTTTTTTTTCTCCTCCACTTCAAAGTAAAAAATCTGTAAACTACTAGGAGTGGAAAAGATGACATTCAGCCCATAGGTGAAGGCTCTGATTAATGTCATAGGTGGGATGTGTGAACAAGAAATTGTGTTATTCTGTGCATAAACATCACTTTATTTTCTAAAGTGGTAATTTCAAGTGCCTTTTTTTGCGTCCTGTTTGGGTGCTGTTCCCCCTCCCACGTGCCATCCGCTCTGTCCACCAGCACCACACGTTGATTAGCATCCCTGGATGTGGGACACCGTTACAGAACCAGAAAGAAACCCAAGACAGTCCCTTCCTTGAGGAACAATCACCATCCAAAGCCACATTAGTTTCCTTTGGAAGTAGAAAGAAAACTCCCTCGAGTCAGTTGTCAATACAGTAACCCCCTTCTCCTTTCTGTAACTCCTGGTCAAAAGTATTGATACTTAATTTACAGTCAGAGCAGATGTCGTTCTGACATGGAAGGAAAACAAAAATTCCTTTGATCAGACCAATTTAAAATAGGAAAGAGATGGTGAATTTCATTTGTGGATCACTCTTTCTCATAAGAGAATTTCTGATCTTTTCTATAGATCAAGGGCAATATATGAAACCACTCAAATGCCTCAGCATGAGAATGGATGCATAAGTTGTGATCCATTCACATAGAGAATGAATGTTATATAGCACTGACAATGAACAGCCTATGACTATAGCCAACAATATGGTTGGATCTCACAATATGACGTTGAGCCAAGGAAGCCAGACTTGAATTAATTAATGCAAAGCACAAAACTAGCAAAAGTCGTCTGTGCTGTTGGAAGCAAGAGTAGCAGTTTCTCAGAGGGGCTGGTAGTGACTTCCAGGGGCCAGCGGGGGTTTGGTGATTGTCCATTCTTGATCTGGGTGGTGCTAGGCTTATGTGCACACTTTCCTATTTATGTTAGTTTTCAATAAAAAGTTTTAAAATAACTTGGCTTCATTCATCATCAGCATCTTTCATTTTAAGACTTTTCCAAGCAGGGCGCGGTGGCTCACACCTGTAATCCCAGCGCTTTGGGAGGCTGAGGCGGGCGGATCATGAGGTCAGGAGATGGAGACCATCCTGGCTAACACGGTGAAACCCCGTCTCTACTAAAAATGCAAAAAATTAGCCGGGCGTGGTGGCGGGCACCTGTAGTCCCAGCTACTTGGGAGGCTGAGGCAGGAGAATGGTGTGAACCCGGGAGGCGGAGCTTGCAGTGAGCTGAGATCGAGCCACTGCACTCCAGCCTGGGCGACTGAGCGAGACTCCATCTCAAATAAAAAAAAAAAGACTTTTCCATATTGTCACTTCTATTGTCATTTTACTGAAAGGAGGTGATTATGGGGGCAGACTTTGGGAAACTGAAGCACAGAGAGGTAGAAATTTGCTCTGTAACTCAGAGGCTCAGTGGGGACCTAGGGACAGATCCTGGTTTTCAGACTTCCAGCTGGACGTTCCCTCTCTTAAAGCCACCACAGTGCCAGAGTTCACCCAGTGTTCCCAGGGCAGCTGTAGAGGCCCCTGCTCTTTCAGCATCCCTCTCCTGCCTTTATAAACCTCCAAAGTGGACTCACTGATTTTTTTAATTGAAAAAGGGCATTTACGCTGTGCCCAGCCTAGTGCCAGGTATATAGTAGGTACTAAATAAATAATTTCTGAATGTATACATTTCCTTATAAAATAGTCAAAATAGAGTATTACTATAATATTCTATATATCATACTATATTGTGATATCTATTCATCGTTGATATGTATTTTCTAAACTTTTTTTTTCTGACAAGTGGACTTTTTAATTTTTGTAAGAAACTTAATGTACTTACTGTTCTTTCTTTCTTTCTTTTTTCGAGACAGAGTTTCGCTCTTGTCACCCAGGCTGTAGTGCAATGGCATGATCTCAGCTTACTGCAACCTCTGCCTCCCGGGTTCAAGTGATTCTCCTGTCTTAGCCTTCCAAGTAGCTGGGATTACAGGCACACGCCACCATGCCTGGCTAGTTTTTGTATTTTTAGTAGAGGTGGGGTTTCGCCATGTTGGTTGGGCTGGTCTGGAAATCCTGATCTCAGGTGATCCACCCACCTTGGCCTCCCAAAGTGCTGGGATTACAGGCGTGAGCCACTGTGCCTGGCCAAATTGTCTCTTTAAGATTGTTCTTGCTGGCCTCTAGTGCTACAGGCATTGCCACTCCTGAGAAAGCCACTCCCTCATCAGGTGAAGGCTCCTGGTTATGGAAAAATGGAGCCCACCTTCCAAAAGTTTCCATCTTAAATCCCAGTTCTATCCTGGGAGATACAACTTTCAGATTCCTCTACCATTTCAGATTCATCTACCATTTCAGATTCATCTACCATTCATTCATTTCAGATTCATCTAGCATTCATTCATTTCAGATTCATCTACCATTCATTCATTTCAGATTCATCTACCATTACCCCCAAAACACCAAACAATGTAATGACTTCAGTGCTGGCATCATCCCAGTGGTTCATGTTCTTTTTAAAAACCATCTATCTTGGCATCTGTCATTAGCTCTGCATCTACCATTCTAAGAGTGGGGGAAGGTGAGTCTTACTGAAAACCTGCATATGCGCTAGCTATTTTTAAAGACTTTATCTCATGTAATTAGCAACACAGCACTCTGAAGTATGTCCTCCTCCCTGTTTTATAGGTGAGACAATTGGGACTCCCCGGGGTCAGTTAACTTGCCCATGGTCACTCAGCCGTGTTTAAGCCTTGGTCCTACGTTTGGATCCTAAGTCCAGAGCTCTCTGTATTCTTCCACTCAGAGATAACCCTTCAAATGGATCATTTAGAAACAGAGACAAGATGCTGAGACCTCGTATATCAACTTATATCTGAACAACCCAGGTAGATTTTTATGGGGAATGCTTACCTAGCAGAGAGTTAGATTTAGGGCAAGCTCCTGAAACTTCAGAATTTCCTTTTGTCGGTTTCATTAATAATAATAAATAAACACAATTTACATCTCTTTTTTTTTTTTTTTGAGACGGAGTTTCACTCTTGTCGCCCAGGCTGGAGTGTAATGGCGAGATTGCTGCTCACTATAATCTCTGCCTCCTGGGTTCAAGCGATTCTCCTGCCTCAGCCTCCTGAGTAACTGGGATTACAGGCATGTGCAACCACGCCCAGCTAATTTTTGTATGTTCAGTAGAGATGGGGTTTCACCATGTTGGCCAGGCTGGTCTCGAACTCCTGACCTCAGGTGATCCACCTGCCTTGGCCTCCCAAAGTGCTGGGATTGCAGGTGTGCGCCACTGGGCCCAGCCTCAGCATCTTTTAAAAATATGTAAGATGAATGGTTTGATGACCTGCAGAAATGGTTACATTGACAAACTTTCCTTTTCCTTCTGGGACCTACCATGCCTAGTTAAGCAACCAGGGAAGGTGCCGAACTATCTAGGATGAAAAGTTAGTAGCAAATACGGCAACAGAAAAGAGTTAGGGCCCCTACATTTTTTAAAGCAGAAATATGTTTTGGCTCTTCTTATTGACCCAACTGATGGTGGGAAAACCCAGAGGGAGGTGCCATCCTTTGGGGTCCCTGGGAGATTTTGACAGTCAACATCTACTGAATAGGTGCATTTTGTGACTGAAGGAAAGCCATCATTGTTGGCTGGTGCTGGTGGGGGACTGAGGAGGCGTTCTGCTTCATGACTGTGGCCCCACCTGCATATGGCCCCTACTATGCAAAGAGTTGTGGAGGGCAGGTGCTACACCCTCACCTCTGAAAATCTTACAGTAATTTTGATTGCATTTTTCCGAACACTAGGAGAAACATTTGTAAATACAGTGCAAAATGTGGAAGCAGTCATGTCAAAAGTTAGAAAAAAAGATGGAAATGTCAGTTTCACTTTTTCCGTATTCTTGTCTCCCACACATCTCTTTGAAAAGCAAGCTCACATCACCCTGCATGGTAAGAGTCTTCAGAATGTGGAAAGGAACTTCAATGGCTTTTGCTGGGTTGGGCTGAAGGAAACCCCGGTGAAACCCACATCTGTAAAGATGCTTCTCATGGTGGGACTTTCATCGCTTGGGTCCTGGTCACAATCAATTTTTCTGCAAAGAACTGGCTTTGCTTTTCTTGTGTTGAGTCTCTAGGGACAGTGAGTTCCGTTCTGGGGACTGTGACTTCTATGCTGTGTACATGTGTGCTTTGGAGAGTTACCGGAAGCACCATCGTTCCTTCCCATACTTCCAGGCTCAGTTACCACTTCAGTCTGGACTGTTGTGAACCAGAATATGGAAGTCATTTTCCCCACATTGTTTACCCAGCTTGCCTGGGAAACACCAACTGGAGAATCAGAGTCTGGCTCTTCATTTTGAACTCACTTTCTCTTTCTTTTCCTGGGACCACCCAGTGATTCAGAGTCCTGCATTCTGTAATGAGATTAATGTCAACAGTTTCCTGCATTGAAGATTATTTTCCCAAAGAGTTCACAATTTCCTTCAGGACTTCTCCATCACCCCAGTGTCTGGCTACCTAATGATTGATTAATGGGTTGATCTTCTAGAAAGCTCAAATTACAATTTCTTTTTTAAAAAAAGGGCAATCCAGCCTTTTCTCTGATTATCCCTCCTCCCCATTTCCCACTTGTCATATGTTTTAGCCACACAGGCTATTGTTATTCCCTAAAAGTGTGCTTCTGAGTCTCCAGGCCTTTGATAAATTGTTCCGTCCTCCTGGAATGCCGTTCACCCCATCTGCCTTTTGAAATTCTGCCCTCCCCTCGGAATCTAGCCCAAGTCCCATCTCCTCTAAGAAGGGATTTTTCTAGATTGAATTAAACTCCCTTCCCTGGCCCTGCATAGTGGCCACATCCAGTAGACTGTGAGTCTCCAGAAAGCAGGGACACATTTTCATCTTTCATTCTTACGAGTGCCTGGCCTCCTATTTTGCACACAGTAGGCATTTGCTACACTTTAATTACTACTAAAATTGTGTGATAAAATAAAACATTTAAATCTCACCATACATTTGCTGGTATTGCAACTCGTCACTCAGACTTTTTGTCACTTAGCCTCTTTGACTGTTTCGTTTCATAGAGAAAGACTACCTCTTTGTCACGCTGTAACAGTGACCATTGTTGCAGAATTTGATTGAGCTGGGGACATGCTCTCCTTGCACACACCACCGGCTTACGTCAATACCAATGTTGAGGGATTCGACACATGGACTTTCTAGCTCTGTGGTGAGTAAGGAAGTCTCTCTTTAGGTGGACTTGAGTGGCAGCTTCTGTCAGTGAATCTGTCAGGAGGGCGTGACCACACCTGTCCAGCTCTCACCTCCAAGGACCAAAGCCTTACCAGTGTTCTCACCTTAGACTCCCTAGTTCTGTCTGCTCTGGGAAGTGTGAACATGAATGTCCCCAGAGCCATGCTCCTCAGTGTCTGGAGGCAGAGGAGGACTTAGCGTAAAGGACTCTGCGGGCTGGGGAGACGGTGCTCACTTCGAATGACGGTCTTGGATTCACTAATCTGCAAAGTACCCAACCTGCAGAGTCTTTCATGCGGTGACTTTGGTTATAGCGAATTAGCAATAAAACTCCTTGTCTGCCTCTCCTCTAAGAAACTTCTAGGAAAGTCTGTGGGTGGGGAAGATATACCTGGAAGAGAGGTTCTCGCCTCTCCGCAGGCCCCGGGCTCACAGATGCAGGCGAGGACTCGGTCTCAGCTACAGTAAATCCAGTTCAGTCCTTTAAGGTCATTTTTTAATTTTTAATTTTTTTTTCCCCCAGCAGGAAAAGGGCTGCCTTCTAGGGAACTTCTCAGAGTTTTGCTGGGACCCTGGCATCCCTGAAATAATGTCAAGCATCATTGCATCTTGCAAAATAATTTGCTGTCTCCACAAATGCCTGCATTTCTGCAGCAGTGGAAGCAGACATTTCAGATTTGCTCCCTCAGATCTTTGCAATTATGAATTTATCTTT